GGTTAAGGTTCACTCTTATCCCCAACCTGTGGTCATTAAATTAGCACAATAGATGTAAAAACATTTGTTTACAATATAGAGCTTCCAGCAATTGTTTTTCCATTATTTTTCTTTAAATGTCTCTTTAGCCCCAAACCTCCTTTCCTCCAAGAGGTTGCAATGCAGAACAATTCAGTAGCTGTTCTTACAAAACAACAAAGCTATTTTCAGATGCTACATTTGGAGCCCTTCGCTTTTTAAAACATTTTAATGGCTCTGTGCTTTAGTGCTGGCGGAGGGGATCGAGTCAACACTTCTATGCATGCTCCCCGAGGCCTCTCCAAGGGCAGGCCTAGACTACCTTCAAAATCCCAGTTTCGGAGGGGTTTTGTGTCCCCAGATGACAGTCCTGTGGCCACCAACTGTCCTTCCCAAAAGACAGTCTAGTCAGAATGTGGCAGTAAAAATATCTGATTCACCTCAGGCTTAGAGCCAACAACTACATGACAACTTGTGCGGCATAAGTGCCCCAAGTTTCAGGGCAGTGGAGCGGGGATAGGCACCGCAGGAAACACCACCTTAATAATTTTGATGAGCAATTAAGAAGTTCTTAAGGGAAGGGAATTTTTTGATGGCTTCAGAGTCTCTAAAGGGGCTAAACGTAAAGACAGTATCACGCTGAAGTATGACATTCATAACAACGGCAGTCAGATTAGTTACTTACAAGTAGGAAGCGACCTGCTGTATACAGTGGCCTGAAGAATGATCCCGTGATCCACTTTTCTGTGATGCGGAAGCCGAGACTCAGAGGCCTACCTGGCCCTTCTACATCACCTCACTGTTTGCCTCAGCTAGAAGACGACCTACCTGGAGAAGAGAAGGTGCCTTTCCCTGGAACCTGGGGATTTCTCTCATCCCTTCTGGCGTTCAGCAGACAAGATGGCCCAGAGCACCCCCGGGGTTAAGCTCATAAGCCCCCATGCCAGTCCAGCAGTCCATCCAGAAACTGTACTGATTTAAAGATAGCTGCAAATCCTGTACCCTATCTCCCATCAGAGGTAAAGTCTATTGTCCTTCCTACTCAATAGTGAAGGTTGGTCCTGTGACCAGAAGTGACAGATGAGGGTAATAGATATAAAGCCATATATCTTCCAATATTGAGTCTTAAGAAATCTGAAGCTTTCAACTCAGAGGAAGCCAAAGCTCAATTTGCTTTTGCTTTAAAACTTTTTATTTTTAGTTTAAAGAGGAAAAAAAATTCAAAAATATTAAAAGTGACTCAGAATTTCAAAATAAGATAGGAAATCAACAATGGCTGTTATATTGCACTTTGTTATTTTCAAAGTAGTTGTTGTTCAGACTACCAGACACAAGGATGAGAAATTGATTTAAAAAAATTAAGCATTAACTGTTCCTTTCAATAAGCCCATTCCACATTCACCTGACATAGGCTGCCTCCACCATGCTGCCCAAGTTCACTCCCAGCAAGATAAAGTCTTCTACTCCCAGCAAGATAAAGTCTTCTTCTAGTGCTATGCTTTCCTTGACCCCCAAGAACAGTCCTTCTACTTGAGGGGTATCCATTGGTGCTATGTTTTTCCTGACCCCCAAGAACAGCCACTCCAAAAAGAATGGGTGGTGGCTCGGCCAAGTCAACTGGTGAGACTAGCCGTTCAGAACAGACAGGCTCAGACTGACGTGGTGCCTTCTGCTTCTGCCCTAATTGTCAAACCCTCAAAGAGCCACCAAGAGACAGAAAAAAGCAGGAAAACATTAAGCAATGTGAAAATGTCACTTTTGACAAGATCATGAACATTGCCTGACAGATGTGGCCCTGCTCTTTAGATGGAGAACTTTTTGGAACCATTAAAGGCACCCTAGTCTTTGTGCTGCAATGTCAATAATTACCACTCTCATTACGTCATAGATGATGTCACAGTGTTGCAGTCAAACACGCAGCTAGCTAAGAAGCATATGGGAAAATATTTCAGTAAAAGATGCATGACACAAAAAAGAGAGACCTGCACCTACTATAATGTGTGCCAGGAACACTCAGTCTTAGACTCAGCCACCTTGCCCATAAAAGGCACACTCATTCACCCACAGTCCCAGCCACAGCCAACATGAACTGTCACCCTCTCAGCCAGCTATCTTGGATGTTCCATTTCATTAGCAGCACAAGGAACAGAAGGACTGCCCAGCTGAGCCCAGTCTCACCAAGATCTTGAAAAATAACAAGCAACAGTGGAAGTGGTAGTTGCAAATCACTAGGTTTTAGAATAACTTGCTTTATATCACAGATAACCAGAACAGTCTGTTTACACAAGAGGATCACCTCTTCAATTGTAAGACTTCAGAGGTGTTTTACATGTGGTGTGCCTGGCTCTGATGTGATGGGGTAGAACAAGAGCACCCAACTCCTGGGGTCCCTCATTTTCCTTGTTGGAAGTATACCTTGTAGGAGGGCTGACCATCTACATGGGCTATCTGTGGTCCTCACTGTCATACAGCATATCTTTTTTCCCCTCAGCATTCCTAAGACACATTCATGTGTGGATGCACAAATTACCTAGATCTACCTATGCCTAATCACTGAAGCTTGAGACCTCAGCTACCTCATGGCATTGGTCAGTTTTCCATTGCTAGAACAAAATACCTGATATTTAAAACTTAAGGGAGAAGAGGTTTGTTGAGGGTCCCAGCTGTAGAGGTTTAGTCCATGGTTGGCGGGCTTCAAGGCAGAAAGGGTAGAGCAGAGGGAGGACGAGGGAGGAAAGCTGCTCATCTCATGGAACTGGAGAATCAAAGTGGGTTGGAAAGAGCCAGACAGGAAGGGTCAGGGAGCAGATGGAGTACTCGCGGTCATGCCCTAATGACCTGTTCCCTTCAAGCAGGCTTCACCTCTGAAGAGCCCATCCAGTTCTGAACTTATGGATGGGTAACCCCATGGTAAGGCCACTGCTCTCACAGTCCAATCACCGGCGCAGGAATCTCTTCATCCAGCTAAACTGACCATGAAGATTAAGCAGCACACCAGCCCAGGATGCACGGGGAGAGAGCCTTGAAGTTAAGGTAAGCTAGAAAATCATCAAGGCTGTGTCTTTTCCACATAACTGATTAAAAAAAAATGCTTTTGTTGTAAGAGGTGTCACAAATTCCTTGCTCTTTTTGAAAAAACAATGAGCTTATGCCTCATTTGGCTATTGTGAAGGTTAAATGTGAAAAATCTATGTCATTTCTAGCATCCTATTTCTATGAGTTAGGTACAAAGTAAACAATGTCCTTTCCAGATGAGTGGTGGTTTCTGTTCCTACTTTAAAAGGGATGGTGATGCTATACCAGGTTTACCTCTATTTTTTGGTGGAACCCGGGATTGAACTCAGGCCCTTGCGCTTGCCAGGCATGGGCTTATTCTACTGAGCTATCTCCCTGAGCCCAGGTTTACCTCTAGAAAGTCTGCTAATTCCAATATGTTATTTTAGGTGCACTTATTTATTTATGTATTTATTTGTTTATTGGGTACAGGATCTTGCTACACAGCTGGGACTCATAGTGATCCTCCTGTCTCAGCCTCCTCAGTGCTGGGATTACAGGTGTTGTGCCACAATGCTCAGTTTCAGTTGCCAGCTTGGAGCAGGGCTGGCATGGCATGTTGTACCAGGGATTGAACCTGGGTCCTTGCACTTGCTTAGACCACTGAGCCATCTCCTTTATCTCCTTGGCCCTAGGTACATATATTTAATAGTCAAAGTCACGCCAGTTGGTATAATACCATTGTGGAACCAATGTGGAATCATTGTTAAATCAAAGTGATCAAGGGCCAGCCAAATAGCTCAGTGGATTAAAGTGCCTACTTAGGCAAATGCAGGGCCTGAGGGTTCAATGCCCAGGCCTGCTATGCTGGCCCTGCCCCCGGGGCATGCTGAGACAGCAATTGAGACTGGGCGTGGTGGTGTGCACCTGTAATCCCAGTGCTTGGGAGGCTGAAAACAGGATTATCGCTATGAGTCTGATCTACATAGTGAGACCCTGTAGACCCTGCCCTAAAATACAAAAATCAATCAATCAATCAATCAAAGTGATCTTTGTGAAGTTACAAGAACAGATGGTCTTCACCCTTGATGCTTTCTTCCTGACATCCCTGAGAAGACAAGCAAAAGTGGTTTCTCCAACTTTACTGGTAAAATAATTTTTGAAGCTCGACCTTTGGCAAAAGGCAGCATGCCTGCTAGCTGTTGGGAAATACAAGTCTTTCCAGCAGCGTGTGAATGGATAGGAGGCCCCACATACATTTACACCTAATGGAGAAGTTGCTCCTCCCACCTTGGGGCTTGTGGCCTTGTGTCCCATGTGTTTTCCTGGACTGCCTTCCAGCAGGCCCTCTAAAGCTGCCCTTGCTTTGGACTCCTTTCTATGACAGCTTTTCCAGGCTGCTGCCTTTCCAAGAAGGCTGAATACCCCTGCACTCACCTAGCCTCAAGTTGAGTCATTGCTCCAACTGATTTCCAATCTCCAGTTTTGAAAGGAAAACTTCTAGGCTGGTTTGGAGAGGCAGGGGTAAAGGCCTCAGCTCTTTCTTCTTACAAGAACCACAAACCAGACATTTTTTTTTTTTTGTTTTCAAAGAGTTAGAAGAGATGAGGCCGAGCCATTGAGGAGGGGCAGGATTTCTATTTCAGTGGGTTCCTTAGGGCAAGAGAGGAAGCTTAGCGGCCACAGGAGTCTAGTTAATGAGCGGGTTATACAATATTCATTGCGTTGAGTTTAACTCTTCAAACAGAACGTCTAATTGCAAAAAGAAAAAAAGAAAAAAAGCCAAATTACAGATGTTAAGACAACAAAGCCTGGGAAGAGCTCCCTTTGTTGATAAACCTGTCCTTTTGCTGCTTCCTCCACTAACTGCACAGTGACAAGAGGCCCAGGGAGTCTCTGTCCTCATCAGGAATTCTCATTAGCTTGTCTTGACTGAGAACTCTACGGGGCCCATGGAGGCTACTGGGGGACTTGGTATGAGGGTCTTCTCAGAAGACTGTTTTCTTGCTACCCACAGAAGGGGTGAGCCAATTGTATTCTGCTTGAACCAGGATAAAACTGTTTCCCTTCAATTCTCCTGACATGTATAGTCTCCTCACTATTGCTCCTGGTAAAAGCACCTGCAGCAGGCTCGCTGAAGGACACTTTTGTCTGTCTGTGGCAATAATGAGTGCACAGGTAGCAAAGGCCAGCAGCCAGGGCCGTGACCAGAGTCGCTGCCAGGCTTAGCAGAAGCCCCAACTTAGGAGTTCTCAACTGGATCCCCAAAGGGGCACTATCTTTCTCTAGCCCAACTTTGGGCCTTGGGTTGGTCTTGTCAGGGTGTCCTAGGTCAGCCCCTGCAGTCCCCTTGGTCACGCTGGCCTCCTGGTACTTTGACTCAGGTAGGAAGCTAGCAGAAGGCCTTAGTTCCTCTTCACGGCTGGTGGGCCTGGAAATGCCAGAGATGTGGAAGTCAGGAGTTGGGTCGGCTACCTCAGCCCCATGCCCACTGAATGCTTCAAAGGGCCATAGATGCTCGGGATTGGTAAGATGGAGAGTGAGCAGAGAAGGCCTCCTCAGGGTCCTGTTAGAGGCCATCATTCTGTCCTAGAAAGGAAAAGAATAAAAGAATCAAATGCAGCTGATTTTCCCTCCAACTTGCCACTAAACTTTGCAAGCGACTTGTGTTCTTTAGAGATAACCCAGGCAAAAGTTGAAAATGCAGCCTCTTGCCTGCTCCTAAAAGAGTTCAGAGCAAAGGCCTGAGTAGATAAACACACACACTTGTAATTAATGGAGATGGAATTGTTAATGGAAGCCCCATATGCGGAGTCGAGTCACAAAAATAGTTACAGTCCTTAAAGGGCTTCCAGGCCCATGAAGAGGTTTATGTCCTTGCTGATGGCTAAGCCTTTGAGTGTCTTTTATGGTAAGACCCATGCAGAAAAATTCATTTATGCTGACTATTGGTTCCCAAAAATTTAAGTCAAAATATTATGTTATGTTTTATTTTATTTTATTATGTTATGTTCTAAGTTCGTCAAAGAAAGAGTAAATCAGTGTGCATTTATATTTATATTGTCCACTGATTGAACTCTGGGGCCATATATGATATTTTGAGGTAGGTGTTATAAGGAAGGAGTGAAGGAGAGAGAAAGGAGGAAATATTGACCAAAGCTAAGTGGAAAAACACATTGCTAAACCATTATTTCTTCCATTCCAGTAACTTTTGGGACACTGCACAGAATGGGAGGGCTGGTGTTCATTAGTGTGGAGAGGCGTTGTGCATATCATGCCCTAGTTTTCACTCTGACTTTGACTCTTAGTCTAATAGCTCTTTTCCCAGCCTGGAGCTTCCAGGGCCAAAATGCCAACCTTAATCCTGACTCACAAATCAAGCTTTTACCTGTTCATCTGTATCCAAAGACAGGCAGGTTTCCAAGGAATTTAAGTTTTGGTCACCCTGAGTCCTAAGGAGAGAACAGATCTAAGAAGGAATCATTAAGTTCATGAGTTAAAAGCTGTATTTCCTACCACTTTGTAACAGTGATGTAAACAGATTTCCTTGGAATAACTCCTGCGTTTAGAGTCAGAAGCCAGCGGGTAGAGTGGGGGAAAAAGTGAGAAGATGGTGGCAAAGAGCTCACTAACTACTATCATCTATTATTTTATTTTAT